AAGGTCTGCAGGAAGGTCAGTATGATGTAACAGCGGACTAGCTGTTGACATCACAGGATCCGATGTCACAGACTCCTCAGCAGGTCTCAAGCAGATTAATAGGCAAAATGGCAAAATTCATGCTGTCACTGTTGTCTGCAGTGCTGGAGGAGATTGACCGAGACACGCAGAAGTAACCATGGGGACCACAGCCCAGGTCAAATGTGCTGTTGCTGACACACCAGCTGGGTAATCCAATCCCAAGCAATGAACTGTCCAACCGGTGAGGACTCAAGGTGTCCCACAGAGATTATGAGCTGCATCACCTGCATCCACTAGCACAGCAAGAGTCAAAGGTAGTCACAATTGAGTTCACGATTTATTCCGCCTCCATTCAAGGGGCCAGCTGCTTGGCCGGTGCCTTGACCACCCTACATCAATGCACTGTTATGAATTCCTTCTCTCTAGAATGAGGGCAGAATGATACCTGTCTTTAGCCAGGAGAGTCCGCACATCTCTGGTGAGCAGTCGATTTCCATAGCAGACCATTCCAGCTCATGGAGGAAACCAGTTCTCACAGGGGGGATAGGCACAACCGATGAAAGGAATGATGTCTGGCAGCAACAGGGTAGGGAGGCAGGATGATATACTGTGGTGGGATGGGCAGAGCCATATTCAGACTGACTGGGTGAGTTTGTGCCTAGGCAAAGGGTGAGCACAAGTCAAAAGGGGTCTCCTGCTCAGGCAGCCAAATGAATGTACTGTCGACCACAACACGTGGGTGGGTGGCTGCTACACACAAGAAGGGACACCACAGGCAGGATACAACTGCTTATGCATGATACTGAGCCAGGGCATCAGCACAATGGGTGTAACGGGTTGGGTTAACTGCAATTTGATGGTCAGGATGGTGGTGGTGCTACAGGTTCCATGTCACCATGCTTGCTGGCTCTGCAACTAAGTCTGACTATCCATGGCACTTGCCGCAAGTACCTTGGCCATTGGACCCAGAACACCACTCTGACTTGCTTGCTCCCCTTGCTGTGTGTGGTTCAGTTCTGAACCTAAACCGAACCTGGGTTCAGGTTCAAGGTTCAGGCAGGGGCCGAACTGGACCTTGTTTCAGGTTCAGAGTGGTCAAGGAGGGGTGAACACTTACCCCAATTGCCAAATAAGGGCCTTTTGAGGTCATTTGAGGTCATTTTGGAGGGTTTGAACCTGACTGCATCAGGAAAAACCTCCTGAGCAAATCAGATATAATTAATAACTAATTTTATCAAAGAGGGAATGATGGATAGTATTGACATAACCTGTCTGAATTGTACGTGGTTGCAATAAATAGTGCTTCAACACACTCAATTAGAGATGATTTATGCTTCATTTGGTCTTATAACCCACCTTAGGTACACAAATGCAGCAGAAGGCTCTTACACGGTGGCATGGCCTACCAATGTGAATATAGGTCCATATCAACAGTCCTGCATTGTACCAGTTGTACCTACATATTCTCAGTATCTACTTACATTGAAACCAGCTAGAAGGAAGAGTCGGATCCAGAGCAGAAACGACACCTACCATGAGTGGCCTGGGCCTGGGCATCATCCAGCTAAATTGGCAGCACTTTGAACCATGCGGAGGCAGGGACACTCAGGCACATGCCTTTGTGCTGCAGGCGGGGAGGCCCCCTGAAAATACCTATAGAGGCCTAATACCAGATACCAACTTTCCCCCCATTTTTACTGAAACCAAAGTTACCATATTGGGATGCATTTTACCCGAAAAGTATCCAACCTCTTGTCTTAGATGTGATTTTTACCAAAACATTGGTATCCAACCTGAGGGCTTGAGGATATTTATTCATTCACAAAAAAGGTTCCCGCACCTGCGGCAATACCAGAGTTAGTTATGTATGGGCTTTATGAGCCTCTCCAAGGTGCACTGGTGTATACAGAATCCAAGAATCTCCCACCTGATCATTATGGCAAGTTGTGGCACTGTTGTGGCCATAATTGTTACCCAAATAGTACCTGACCTTTGCTCTGGATGGCTGTTTTTACCCAAAAATTGGTATCCAAGATAAATCCCACCGGCAGGTCCTTTACCAAAACTGTATCAGACCTGGCACCCATTTGAGGGTGATTTTTACCAAAACTGGTATCAGACCAACTATGGGTATTTTCAGGGGGGCCTGCACGGGGCTAACAGAGATGGAGTATGTCGCAGGTATGAAGGGACTGGAAAGAGGAACTTAGGGACATGGAACAAGCACAAGACAAATGAGAGGCCCAGGTGTGTCGCGCCTTGGTCATCCCGTCTGTGTCCATGTCACTGTGTCAGTGGCTCTGAGTCTGAGACGCGAGTGTGCACATGACGTTGTTGAACACACTTTTTCAAGCTCCACTTCAATCTACTCGGTAAATGTGCACCCAAGTCTGTCACTACCTTCCCTCCGTCCCCTCATGCCAGTGTTGCCCCTTTCATGCTCTTCAATGGTGACACATTGTACTAACCTCCAGGGCCCGCTGCTTCAACGGATGGTTGTCTGGCAACTGCTGATGGGACAGTGTTGGGCATTCGCTGGCCTCATATGTTACGGATGACATTTATGCTGGCATTGGTGAGTCACTAGCCGTTATTGCTAGGATTGCCGTGTCCGGCAGGTAAGTGGTTCTATGTGATGTTCCGATTGGAGTATTGGGATGGTGGCTGAAGGGCAACACACCTGTAGGTGCTGATTTTGCTTGGTTCTACATCTACCCCATGAGTCTCCGGTGTCCTCCAGGATATATCTCGTGCTTACCATGATATTTGCAGCTTCACTGTGCTCAAGTAGGACATCATGACTTGGTTAATCAGTATCAAGGTGAATACTACATCTTCTGATGAAGAATCAAACATTCCTGACATTCAGGCACTTGCTCATCATTAGGTATATATGGACTCCATTCATATAATGTGTGTCATTTGTCTATATCTACACATAGCTATCCTGAGCCCTTTTCGTTGCAGAAACAATTCAACCCCACTTGCTATTTGGTCCAGCGGTGATCCTCTGGCCATGACACGACCTTGCACTCTGCACTGCCAGTGTGCTGCGTGGACCTGCCGTTCGCCGCTCCATGGGTCCGTCGCCTCGCCGGGAGCATGCGTTGGATGTGCTTCGGGGACAAATGCATAGTCAGGGTTAGGCGTAAGTGATTGTAGACCTATGCATAGACTACAATGTACCCTTATGTTTATGAATAAATTACTGCATCCTGATATCTGTGCTTGTTTGTGGGATAAAACACTGGATAACTACTGACATATGGTCTGTTATGATACATTATGCTGTTGTAATCCTTACTAATTAGATATAAAGTGCCGGGAGGCCAGCGTCGGCTGTCTAATTAGAACTAACATTGTAATTGGTCTGATTCCCAGTAATTAGATATAATTTGAACTGAAAACAGGAGATTCCGTCTAATCATCTGGGGGGGTTTTCCCTGATGTGAACTAGACCTTAGGTTCAGGTTAAGGCCAGACCTAAGGTTCAGTTCAGATTTTGGCCCTGAACCGGACTGAACCGGACCCCGGCAACACTAATCCCTACCATACAATCTTTTGCCAAAAGGCAGTATTCAACCAGTGATAATATTGAACAGATATGATTGGCTCGCAGGATGCCGGCGGTAGTGACGACTTGGGAGCGGGGGAAGCCGGAGGCGGAGGTGTCAGCAGCGCCTTGACTTGCGCTCAACGTTGAACGCACTCTGGCGGCGCTGCAGGCGTCAACGATGAAGACGATCCATAAGCGACTGTACCAGACGTTTCCCGTCATCCCGCGCTCTGTCAACGCCCCCTCGTCCAGCAAAGCACCCCGTGTCCGTTCCAACTCGGCTTCCTCTCCGCGCTCCCTCTACACTGGAAATGGTCCTTCATTCTTTGACTCCCCGCAACCGCCGCCTCCGTCCTCGAGACCCTCGGGCTCGAACATTGTATCTCCTGCCCGGCTGCCACTCGAGGCCAAAACGGAAATCGAGCTCCAACTAAATCTCCAGCATAATTCCGGTACCAATCAGCATCTCACCCCGTACTCGCAGTCTCAGTCGTCTGGCCCTCATCCTCCCTTTTCGCTCGCTCTTACTACCCCATCGTCACATCCTTCATCGTCTTACAATCCCTTGTCACATTACGCGCCCATTTTCCCTTACCAGTCACTGAAGGCAGGGCCCTCGTCGGGTGCATATGTTGCAGCTGACTCAGAACACTCGACATCTGTGAAACGCCAATCGCCGCGGTACCATCTCGATGTCGGGGCATATGGGATTCCCAAGCGTTCGAAGACGAATATGGGCCGACAAGGCCCTCCTTTGTCAAAGTCCGCACCCTCGTCTCACGACTCCGGATATTTGGCCGTTCAGATAGGCGAGGATGCGTATTTTGTGCGGGACAATGCTTTGGGAGTAGCAGATGGTGTCGGAGGCTGGTCCAGGGCAAAGCATTGTGGTACGTCAGTCGTCCTATTCCCTCACCGATCGTGACTGATGTCGAGTACCTTGGCTGCAGACGTAGCGCAGGCTACAAAGGGCCTTCCGGATACACCTAGTGCCCTCTTTGCACGCCGGCTCATGCATTACTGTGCGGAAGAAGTCGAGTCGTCCACCTCTGATCCCCAATACCTCTCTCCTGGTCATCCACCGCCCTCGCACCGGCCATCATCCTCCGCACCCCACCCTTACTCGTACGACTTCCCCTGTTCTCACCTCAGCGAAACATATGAGACGTCTGCATACACGACAGACGGAGACGAATACCTAGACGAATCAGAGGACCCGTTTGAAGATTTCGAAGACGGCTTGGACGTCCTCATGATCCTCGAGCGCGCCTACGACAAGGCACTCAAAGCGCACACCATACCCCCAGTCCCACCTCCAAACGAACCAAAATTCGACACGGATGCCAACGGGGCGAGAGAATCACCCTCACTCGATCCCTCCCCTCTTCTTCCGCCCGATCTCTCGCCGACAGCCACCGAACCCATGCCGCTCCTCCTCGGCTCCTCGACGGCCCTCGTTGCGGTGTTAGATTATGCCTCCCGCAAACCGACCGGTAGTTCCAAGTCTACTTGGGTCGAGCCGTCGATATCTGCGCCGGACCTGCCGATGCCCGAGCCTGTCATCAAGATCGCGCACTTGGGAGACTGCATGGGCATGCTCGTGCGCGGGGAAGAGGTCGTGTGGCGCAGCGAGGAGATGTGGTCGAACGTGCGTCCTGTCTCCTTAATCTTATGCATCCGTCCTTACTGACGTCGGACATAGTTCAATACGCCTCTGCAGCTCGGCCCCGCATCCTCCACTCGCCCAGCCGATGCGCAAGTATTCACGATACCCGTGCAGACCGACGATATCCTCATCCTCGCGTCCGACGGGCTCTCGGATAACCTCTGGGACGAAGAAGTGCTCGACGAGGTGATACGCTTCAGGCGGTCGTTCCTCCATCCGGGTCGTCAAGGCTTGAGGTCGAGTCTGCTGGGACGCAGAGCTCTCGCGGGAATGCTAAGCGAAGCATTATGCTCCCGTGCGAGGAAGGTATCCGAGCGCCCCCCGAGGAAGGTGGATAATGCTCCAGGAGAGAGCAAAGAGATGGAAACACCCTTTGCGCGGAAGGCGAGGGAGCAAGGCAGGTGGTTTAGCGGCGGGAAGAGTGATGGTGAGTCCTTTCTTGTACGATCAAGAGACCCATTGAGCTGACGCTCAACCTATAGACATTTCTGTATTGGTAGCATTGATATCACCTGCAACATTACCGGTACCATCCTTGTTATGATAGTCACGCAATACATCAGCATCTTATTTGGACATTCGAAATTACTTATGATGCGTAACAACGCATATAGCGGATTTTGACGCGATATTTCATTAGCCATCGAGAAACGTACAAAACACTCCACAGAGACCCCTCAGCTCACATCCATAGCCTCGACCTGCCCACCGATAGGCGTAATCTCCTCACTGACGATCAGGTCCTTGATACTCTCCTTCTTCCACGCAGTTGTGCCTCTGCGGAACTTGTATCGCTGCTCCTTCTCGACTCGCTCGTTGGGCTTGACGAAGTTACGCAGCATCTCGGTATGCGAGGCGGTGATGACGCAGGCGTCGACGTTCGATCCGGACCCGAGATCGTTGAAGATACCGGCGAAGATGGCGTCCCGGACGAGGTCGAGAGCTTCTTCGCGCTGCACTGGAGTTAGTTAGAGTCTGGGAGGCAAGGCTGGGACGCACGGTCATGTTGGGTTTCCATGCAGACTCAAAGACGGCCATGGCTGCAAGAGAACCAGAGCCCATTGTAACGTAGGGCAGCTTGTCCGTCGAACCGTGGGGGTGGATGGTGAAGAGGTGGGGGCCGGTCGCGTCTACGCCGCCGAGCACGAGCGCAGCGCCGACGTGGCCCTGATACCTGTGCAGACGTCAGCTCCCCGTAGGGCTAGGCGGGGTGAACGATGGACACGCACCGGAAGAGCATCTGCTTGAGCATGGTCATGGCGGTGACGACGCGGGGCTTGCGCCCGGTCGAGAGCGCGTGCAGCTCCATGTTGGACGAGATGAGGGCGGTCGTAAATTCGGTATCGGCTGCCGTTCCCGCACCACAGCAGCGTATTGAGTCGGTGATGTAATGTATCTACTGGGAGGGTCGGACGTTATAGGTCGTTCGAGCGGTACGGGGGAGGGCGCGCACCTTCTCGCAGTTCTTGTCCGCGACGATGGGCCCCTCGGTGGCGCGAGTATCGGCCCCTAGCACGATGCCATCTTTGAAAAGGCAGCCGACGATGGTGGTACCGGTACTAGTGGCTTTGGGAAGGGGCAGGCCCTTCTCCTGGAGGAACTGGTTTCTGTATCACGCATTAAGCAATGAGCAAGCCAAGGGGTTGCCAGTCGTTCTCACCGGACTTGGTTAGAAAAGTCAAAGCCGACTGGATTGTAGACAGACGCGGAAGCCATGGCGGTCGAGGACGAGAGTGAGCAGAGGCGGACGCGCGTCTGGACGAGTGCAAGTGCAAGTGACGCGTCTTCGCCTAAACAGTCACAGCCATCGGTTCGGTCTGCGCGGGTACAGCAGCTGCGCGTCAAACACTGCACTCTCAACGACACGCACAACGACGATGGAAGGTTGGAACAAGCTGCAGACGAGCCTGTCGGGGCTCAACCTCGGCCAGTCCGCGAGCAAGCTCACGAAGGGCTTCAACTCGAGCGTGCAGGCGACGAGGGAGCGTTTGGGCCAGATTGCTCCCGACGAAATCACTGAGCTGCCCCAGGGTGAGTGAGAGTAACTGCTACTGGAAGGCCAGAGACGCTGACGCTGCAAGGCAGAGTACAAGGACCTCGAAGCCCGCGTCGATGCCCTCCGCCAGGCGCACCTCGCTCTCCTAAAGTGCGCACAATTACACTACCCATCTATGCAAACATTGACAGCCCCACCCTAGGATAACCCGCGTCTACGAAAGCGAGACATACGACTACCCGACTCAAATCCAAGAATCCTTCGCAGAGCTGACCTCCTCCATCGGCTACGGCATCACCAACTTTGCCGCGACGAACCTGAAAGGGACCAACCTGCCGACGCCCTCGCCCTCTGCGCCGCCGCCGTCGCAGCACAAAACCCTTCCGCATGCCCTTTGCCGCTCTGCCACGGCCGGCGCGACCGCGCTGGGCACGGAAGACAAGCTTGGCAAGGCGCTGAGCGAGTACGCGGGCGCGTGGGAGAAGGTCGCCGCGGCGCGGCTGCAGCAGGACCAGACGATCCGCCAGGCGTTCCTCCAGCCGTGGCAGACGACGCTGAGCACGAGCATCGAGGTGGCGATGAAGGCGCGCCAGGCGGTCCGTGCGAGCAGGCTCGAGCTGGACGCGGCCAAGCAAACGTGAGTGGCACAGGATTTGTTGTTTCTGGCTGATGGTGGAACGATGGATTGCAGCTTGAAGCGCGCAAGTCCGCAGAGGCAGGAGCAGGCACGGTTGGAGGTCGAGAACGCCGAGGATGACCTCGTGCAGAAGACCGAGGTTGCGATCACGCTTATGAAGACTGTGTTGGAGAACGTGAGCGATGCCATTACTGGACTGACTAGCCCGTACTAATCTCTGTCTCTGTAGCCTGAACCCATCAAGAATCTCAATGAGCTGACCAAGGCTCAGGTTCGTTGTCCCCTGTCAAAGTCAGCATTGTTTCCCGCCTCCTGACCCCTTTACAGCTCTTGTACCACAACGCTGCTGCCGAGGCGCTGTCCTCTGTGCAGGGCGAGATCGAGGAGCTCAGTGTCGCGGCCGAGGGCGAGTACAGGTGTGTATCCTATTCCCTCTCTTATTGTACGTTGCTCACACTACTGATTGTACAGAAAGTCCCGCGACCACTGAGGTGCCACTGACATGAAATAACGACCGTAATTATTGCTTCCGAGTTTACGTTTTTCTGAATGACGGACTGGATGTCTGCTGTTGTCCGCACTATGCCTGCCTTTGCTACGCGTACCTAGTCTGTTGTCGGCAGTAACGATATCATAGACCTGTAATGCAGTTGATGCAGCGCGGGAGAGCCAATGTCCGATTTCCTGATAAGATAAACAGCTGGTCCAGGACCTTGACTCGTGAACACCGACGACGATGGCGGAGCCAACAAGTCAGACGACGATCAGCCCGCACACGCAGCAGCCGCTTGTAACGCGGACGTACCCCTCGCAGTCTGAGCTCGACGCCGCCATCCGCAAGTCTTCCGAGGCGCAGAAGAAATGGCGGCTCGTGCCCCTCGAGGAAAGGATAAAGATTGGGGAGAGGTTTATGGTGAGTATCAAAGTATACTGTATTACTGAGCAGTCTGATGAGGATCGAATGTAGGATGAATTCAAGACGATGAGCGAGGAGATACCGCTCGAGTTGACGCAGCAGATGGGCAGGTGCGTCTGCTCGCTCCTGCGGTACGAAAATATTCTTCTTACACCTTATACCTTCCAGGCCAGTCAGCCAATGTGCGGGCGAGATCCGAGGCCTCCTTGACCGCGCTGCATACATGCTCTCCATCGCACCGTCTTCCCTCGGCGACGTCTCCCTCGCGGACACCGACAAGCCCGGCTTCAGGCGCTTCATCCGCCGCACCCCCTTGGGCGTTGTCCTCGTAATCGCACCATGGAAGTGAGTCGTGTACTCACCTCCCGGTCGGATGGCCTCCTGCTCATTCACGCTTCCCGCCCAGCTACCCCTACCTCGTCTCCATCAACTCCGTCCTGCCCGCCCTGGTCGCCGGCAACTCCGTGCTGCTCAAACCCTCGCCCCAGACGCCGCTCACCGCCGAGCGCTTTGCCCTCGCGCTGACCCGCGCCGGCGTCCCCGCCGATGTCATCCAGGTCCTGCACCTGTCCCCCAGCCTTACCACGTACGCCGTGCAGCACCCACTCGTGGACTTTGTGTCCTTTACGGGGAGCGTCGTGGGTGGGCACGCGGTCGAGAGGGCGGCAGTCGCTGCGGAGGGGTTCAAGGGCGTCGCGCTGGAGGTGAGTGGTTACTCTGTCTCTTCAGCGTCCTTCGAGCTCAGTCGCTGAATGAACTATGGGTATCCAGTTGGGTGGGAAGGACCCGGCATACGTGAGGGCCGACGCCGACTTGGATTATACCGTACCCGAAGTCGTCGATGGTCTGTCTGGCTCCTACCTTCCATCATTGACAGTGCCCCACCTACAATCACAGGTGCTTTCTTCAACTCGGGCCAGAGTTGCTGCGCAATCGAGGTTTGCGCTGCGTCTCTTCCTCGAGATTCCTGTCATAATCCGCGATTTGTAGCGCGTATACGTCCACGAATCCATCTACGACGACTTTGTCTCTCGTGCTGTCGACCTCGTCAAGGTTCGCCCGCCCTCCTCTCTAGCCTACATGCCTTGTCTAATGCAATATGACGGTCATTCTCGCCACAGAAATACAAGCTCGGCGACCCGACGCACCCCGAGACGAACCTTGGTCCCGTCGTGAGCGTCGCAAGCGCGGAGAAGATCAGGGCACAAGTTGCCGATGCCGGTGCGTGCGTCTCTACAGGCTGCTTCACCTCCCTGCCCCCACACATCTCATCACACATAATCACAGTGAAAGCGGGCGCGAAGGCGCTCATCCCTGAAGACCTATTCCCCGCCGCGAAGCCGTGCGTAGTTCCCTAACCTACTAAACTTCCGTATGCTGAGCGTCCGCAATACAGAGGGACGGCGTTCGTCGCAGCGCAAGTGCTTGTCAATGTCGACCATAGTACGTATCATTGGCCTGTAAATCCATGTTCCTTCCCCTTGACCGTAGATTGCGTAATCAGGTATGAGCGTGATGACAGAAGAAACCTTCGGCCCCGTCCTGGGTATCCAAAAGGTTTGTCTTCGCCCTCAATCTCACTCCCACCCTGTCCCTCGCTACTTCCCAATCATGACCCTTACTTCACCGATCTCGCCTATGCACAGGTCTCCTCGGACGCGGAAGCGATCGCACTGATGAACGACTCGCGCTACGGGCTCACTGCCTCCGTCTGGACCAACGCCGCCGCGAACCCGGACTCGGAAAAGGCATTCCTGGATATCGTCGACAAGCTCGAGACGGGCACAGTTTTCCTCAACCGGTGCGTCTCACTCCCCCTCTTCGATCGTTCTTGCCTCTCGCACAACCTGGGTCATGGAGTGAAAGGATCGTCGAGGACTGACCGTCGATGTTACAGGGCTGATTACCTGGACCCTGCACTCGCGTGGACAGGCGTAAAGGACAGCGGGCGGGGCATCAGTCTGAGCAAATACGGTACGTCGGTAACCCAAGCCTTCATGTACGCGCACGTCTGATGTTTGCTGCGATATAGGATACGACCAGCTCACGAGGGCCAAGTCGGTCCACATGAAGATTGTAACTTAATGAAGCAGGGACGGAGGAAGTCAGTATATTGCAGGCCGAGTCAGATACAACGCAGGGCAGCAGAGCAGTACCTAGACGACACAGTAATATAGATTGAAACCTTACCATCGGACCCGCGCACGATCGTCCTGGTTTCGAAGAACCTACTCATCTTTCATCCCTTGGCGGACGTGCTGCACTCATGTCGCTTATCTTGAAGCGGCATACGACCATCGTATACGTAGTTGGATATTTGATATAAATCGAAGCATCGTCTTAGGACCAACATCAACAACTCGCTCCGCCCAAACAAACAAAACGGCAACGTACCCATGTTCGACATTACACGCCCCCCGGCGCAGGCACTTGCGCGCCGGGGGAAAATACATAGCAGCGGGACAGCGACAGCGACAACACTACCTAACATCTGCACACGCAGGGGATATCGATGCAAGCTTAGATGGGCTTGATTTTGAAGTGCAGCGAGATGAGCGAGAAGATGAGACACTGTGGTACGAGGGTGGTAATGAGCCATTGCTGGGGGATGAGGGATAGGAGAGGGAAACAGACGTACTCTAAGGTCCTGGACGAGGTAGTAGAAGACACGCAGCCCCTCGGGGTCCTCGCTCTCTTGAATGTCGACAAGCGAGCCGATTTTTGCCGTCTACGTGCACGCAGTCAGCAGCCGGAATGGAAGAGCAAGGGAGGGATCCATCGGGAAAACGGAAGAGTTGCTGTCGGTGATCTACGGGTTACGCACGTGGCACCATTCGTAAGGACCGACATTAGCCTTGTCTCTGCCTTAAAGAGGCGTGTAAGTGCCTCAAAGACAGGTAAAAAGTCTGCACTGAGCAGACTAAGGCCACTCGCCGCCAGTAGGTCCAATGTCGTTTTCCTGATGGCCTCAAGGAAAGCAGATGAGAGGAAAGCAGATGAGAGCGTACCTCGAAAGCGATATGCTCGTTCCCAATCCGGATCTCCAGCTCCTGCTTGCCGACGATATTCGGCTTCGGCCAGTTCGTGTCGTCCTCCTTGGTGATCTCGCTCGACTCGACGATGCGCTTGAGCTCCTTTACCACCAGGGGCCCAACCCACACTGAACATGCGTCAGTTAGAAAGAGAAGGAGAGAGGGACGCAAGGATGGGGGGAACGCACTCTCTTTCCGGATGAGACTGTCGTTGCGGTAGTTGGAGTTGTTCGCGTAGCGCAGACGGCCATGCGAGTACTCGAACTCGAGGAACTCGTGCCCGTGGCGGCCAGAGTGGCCGGTACTAAGAGGGAGGAAAGGTCGGATGTCAAAATGAAGGTGGTTGGAACATGATTCGGGTATACACACTAGTATCTGGAAGGAGTGTTAATTTTCCGTAATAGATGGGTATGCTGAGAACAACGCACCGGAGGTAGAACGGGTCTTGGTCTTGTGCGGACATTGTACAGCACGAGTTTTGAGGTGAGTGAGCGTCGAATGAGTGACAGAACGCGACGCGCTAGACCGAGTCCGCCAGGCGGCGCCGCGGAATTTACCGATTGCCAAGTGCGGTCAATCCAGACTTGGTCCCAGACGTAGTTGCCACAAAACCTTCAAGGTACAGAAGGACTATAATATGATACAGGTCCTACGAAGACGCAGATGTGGGTGTCTGCACGACCTCGGTGCCCTGACTCGCCAGTTCATTCTTCACAATCTGCTCGCCGAGGGCCTGCATCTTGTGCTTGTCCGAGACCCTCATCCCCTCCACCGCATTCTTCAGCACCTTCTCCCCAATCCCCACCGGCGCCCGCTCCCAGCGCACAATACGCATCCCCACACCCGGCATCGCATGCCTCTCCAAATACCGCACCCACCGCTCAATCACCTGCGGGTCCGCGTCCCACGCCTTCACGAGCCTTTTATGCACCTTGCGCTCAAAGTTCTCCTGGCTCTTCTTGTGCACGAACGGGCTGCGCGGCACCGTCCAGAGCGACCGCTGCGTCGGCAGATGGACGGGCCGCGAGAGCGGGATGCCCAGCGCGCTCGCGGCGTGCGATGCAAAGTGCACGAAAAGGTCCATCAGCGGCGGCGCGTACGAGCGGAAGTGCACGGTCGCGACGGGGATGTCGTGCGTGCGCGCGTGGTAGAGCGGCTCGTGCACGGAGCGCCCGTGCACGACGGTGGACGCCCATTTCTCCTCGGAGAATCCGCCGGCGGCGTGGGTGAGGCTTTGCAGCCAGTTCTGGGATGCGCCCTCTAAGCTTGATGCCGATGACGAGGGTCTCCCAGACTTCGAGCTCTCAGCCTCGGAGGGCCCTTGAGGAATGCTAAGATTTGAACGAATGAACGCTGAACCCCCTCGAGAGCCATGAATCACATACGCATCCAGGCTATAACCCCTTCTACATCTCGAGACCAACGCAGCAAGCCCCCGCGGCCGAGCGCACGCCTTTAGAGCCAACATCCCGTGCGTCCCCAACTTCAGAGAAACCGGGCTATGTAGCGTAGAGGAAACGTCTGTGAGTACTGGACGTTGCACAAAGGTAAATTGTGCACAGCCACCGCACGCGTCCATCGAGCGCGTCTGCCCCGGCCACGCTCCCGCCACACGGCCACTATCGCTCCTCGTCGCATGCACACCCGCTCGCTCGACTTCTAGGATGGCCCGCGCAGGCGGGAGCACCGACGAGCTCTACGCAGCCCTGCACCAGCGCCTCGTCCAGAGCGGCGACTGGGACCGGTATGGCTCCTCTTACCTTCCGTTCCCTGTGACCTGAGCGTGGGTCTGTTAGCATCCAAGGCCTCTTGCGCACCAAGTTGAATGAGAGCGGGTGGTCGGATACGGTACGCGCGAAAGCTCAAGGTAAGCTTCAACTCCCAGTCAATCAACCCAACAACTCAGCCTATCCACTATTCTACAGATACCGCGCGCGGTATGGACCCCCTCTCCGGGCGTAAGCTGCTCGAACTGATGAAGGAAGACCCGCAGAGTGAGTCTGCAATAGATAGCTGCAATTCACTCTTGCTAAACGACGTGGGTGGCCAGCTCGGATGACATCTGTCCCTGAGGGCGTGAAGAAAGAGGTCCTGGCTGCCATCCGTCAGGTTATCGACAAGCAGTTTGAATAGCGAGTTGACCACTAACACGTCGTACCCCATGGAGGCCATGACCTGCTCAGCCTTCTGCATACCATTTCTTGGGACATTACAATCACGGAACTGTAGAATACACCCGGGCAAACACCGACTTCACTGAACATTTGTATTCATCTACAAGCACTAATCTCGGTACGCGATACATGACGCAACAAGATCATTCCAGCAAAGAGCATTGCAACGAAAACAGCAAGGGGGAAAACACAACAAGAAAACACAGATTGCACAAAGCACGAAGAAACATGATCAGAACGTAGAAAGCAGGCAACGCTCACAAACAGAGACGATCGCATCAAACACCCTCGGCCTGATCAACAGCCCTCCAAGTGTCATCCTCGACGAACCACCCTCCTTCACCCTCGATGCCCGATCCGCGATGACACGCCGCCGCATGCTTCCACCTACCCACCATTAGCCCGTCAACTGCCCTCCTCTCTCACCCGAAACTACTCACCAGTAAATCTCCTTAACCTACAGCCCCGCAAGGTCAATCGGTGGAAGGACACACGTAGCACATACACTGCACACTGACCTTCAAAACCACATCCTTCACCCCCTCCAGCGCGACCCACCGCCTGCACTTGTGGCACCTCCCCTCGACGACCCGCGTCCGCTCCTTGGGCGCCGCGCCCTCGCGCGCGCGCGTGCGGAACGCGACGGGCGGGGAGAACGGGCGGGTGGTGGTGGGTGATATGCCTATATTGCGAAGAGAAGGAAATGCTCAACGACGGAGGGGGGAAGGCACCTACCATGCGCGTATTGCATATGATAACTCCCTCACATCAGCTGCTCTGCTCCCATACAAACGAAAGACAAGACACTCTACGCAGCCAATTAACCCCGCTTCCTAGCAGGACCCGAACCCTGACTCACCACTTGTACGCACTCGTCTTCATAAAGAACCACCTCTTCTCCCCCTCCTCGCAGCAAACCGGACAGAGCCCCATCTTCGTCCGCCCGACGCCCTTCACGAAGCGCGGGGTGTACAGGTCGAGGGGGTCCGCCGGGGGCTGGAAGGTGCCTTCTACGTGTGCGGACCATGACGGGCTGTAAAGACACGCAAATTGTACGACAGATAATGTTCAGTGTTTACGCATGTCAGAGCTGTAAGGAGGTGTTTACGCTTGGTTCGGCAGGAGGAAGAACGAGGACACGGGGAAGCGCCTGTAGAACAGCGGGAACGCAGCGTTGATGGGGACGTGCGCGGGGAAGGTCCGCTGAGGGTAGGTCTTGGCGGGGCCTTCAGAGCCGCGGTGATTCAGCACGCTAAGAGAAGGCATGGAGACCACCGTGTCGTCAGAGTCAGGCTGGGGCTCCTGCCGGCGTTTCACCCGGGTCCTAGGGGTTGGGGAGTCCGGGTCTGCGAGAGCGCGTCTTCGCTTCTGCCCGCGCGGTTTCGGCTCACTAGCAGCAGACAAGATAGGGCGAGAAAGAGGAGAGCGCATATATCGACTAGGGGAGCTTTCCACGGCAGTTTCAGAGCTGTCCGGAGTCAGAGGGGTGAGCGGAGAGAGGGACACGCGTGATCCGGAAGACCGGCTAGAGGGAGTAGAGAATGAGAGGGCGGAGATCGGGGCCGGGACGGTGCTCCCGAGGTAGCAGAGTTCGCTGTTCTGTCCGCTAGATATTGAGTACGTTCTTGCAGCTAAATAGCGATGGACGACGGGAGATATGTCCGGGTCGGCGGTAATGGGAGCGAGAGAGGGCGCAAAGAGGTCGTCCAAATCTCGAGCGGGTGAGAACGTCAGCGAGTCACTTGAGAAGGACAACGACGGAGCGCGAGATGCAGGCAAGCCGGGCGGTTGGAGGTCATACAGTCCAAAGGGGGAGTCGAATTGTCGCATAGCAGGCGAGTCAGTACGGAGCCACGATTCGCGGTAGGTCAGTCTCGGAGAGTCAAGGAGACGCGGGGGGTCAGGAGTACAAGCACCAGAGAGGTTCGGGATCAAGTTCAGGCTTGGAATGTCTGCTAGTTTGCGAGACATGAAAGGCGAGCGAAGCGTAGTGGGCGCGTCAGGAACATCGAGGTCGTCAGCAAAGCACACGAAAGAAGAACTGGAGCACATGTTTGGGATAGTACACGCTGGTCAGGGAGGGCAAAGTAGTACAGCGAGCAGCGTATATCGCGTCCGGCGAGCAGGGCAGTCAGTCGTCGTCGTCGTCAGAACACGGCGTGACTGGCTGCGTCACATTCATCCTGCTCACTCTCGGTCACGCCGGTGCCAACGCGTTGCATGCGACTTGCATGAAATGTTGCCGCCCTGGCTCTCGTCCCTCTTCTTTGCTTTATGGCTCGTCAGTCTCGTCCAGGGCTCAGCGCTGACCACCGCAATCGGTGCGAATGAGCGGCTCTGCTTCTATGCCGACGTGGACAAGGCCGGGGAGAAGATAGGCGTGAGTGCTACTATGGTACTTTATACCGCGTGTCATTGACCTCGAGTGCAGTTCTACTTTGCAGTACGTGCACGTCCCACATACATCCTCCATACCCAACACTGAAGGCCCCGGCAGGTCCAATCCGGCGGCTCCTTCGACATCGACTACGAAGTCCGCGACCCGAACGACAAGGTCCTCCTCGACGGCCTGCGCGAGCGCCAGGGCGACTACGTCTTCACCGCCAACACCGTCGGCGAATACTCCTTCTGCTTCGAGAACGACATGTCCACGCTCACCGAGAAGCTCGTCGACTTTGACATCATGGTCGAGAGCGAGCCGCGCCGCGAGGCCAGCGCCAAGCCCGGCCAGGTCGCCGACCACACCAGCGCGCTCGAGGAGAGCATATTCAGGCTGAACGGGCTGCTGATGAGTATCAAGCGCATGCAGAGATAGTGAGTGCTGGCTCAGGCTCAGACGAATCGGACGCTGAGGCATTTTGGTAGTTTCCACACGCGCGAAGCACGCGGATTCTCAATCGTGAAATCCATACAAAAGTAAGCATCATCGACTCCCTCTGACTCGTGCCTCACACATTCCACCCCAGCCGCCTCTTTTGGTACGCCGTGCTCGAGTCCCTAGGCGTCATCGCCATGGCAGTGTAAGCTCACCCCCTCTCATCCTCCTCGCCGATCTGACGACCCCCTTCACCTCAACCAGATTCCAAGTCTACATCCTCCAAACGTTCTTCACGAAAACTGGCCGGCGGTACAAGGTATAACATCACCGACTGCGTGAGCGAGGGACGCCTGCTGGCCAGGAGCACGATACGGATACCGCTAATGGGTCGCTAATGTATTCTGAGGACAATTACTTATTACTCTTCCTCTGGGATTGCTGGTTCCGCATTCATCTGTGATGAGTTGTGTGAATGCCCACAACACCCGTTCATTCCAGGCGCACTTTATGACACTCTCGGTGCAGGATAAACAACTCACCCCATGGGATTTGTCTTTCTTGACAGATGGGCAATGCGAGGAAGAAAGGGCGGGGGCGTGATACCAACGTGGGGATGTTTCTCTAGACTCGGAGCGAAGAGGGCAACGTCGCTTCAAGGGTCTTCGTCTTTCTTCTTCTTCTTGAGGACGCATGGGAATTACGCAGCCCGCTGACTGACAGACTCAAGGCAGGTACACCCTTCAGCCGGCTCCTTGGCGTGCCGGGACGGTCTCGCTCCAAGTTTATGAATATGTATTCCAGACAAACCGAAGGCCAAATGATACGCTGCAGACCACGGAGGTGCGGACGCGCTTCTGAAACTGACGAGTCGACATCTCACCGCAGGCAGCACCTCGCACCACTTGTCCGTAGCGAGGTATGTCTTCGGGCTCGCATTCGGGCGGGCAGCGAGACACTAAGTCTGGCAGCGCTCTGACCTTACACGGTCGCATTGACTCAGTCCTCAGCCATCTAATCACCCCTCTACCGACGACGCCTTACAGTGTTACGCAAGATACTACCGATATTTCCGCTGCGTACACCCCGACGTGTTCGCTGCAGCATCCACCTCATCAGCACAGCACCGCTTCTCCACCAAGCGTTAATCATGAAACGCAATGTTGTGCCCTACCTTACCGACTGATAGCCGGGACGAGTTCATGGCCTTTAAAGCCCTACGCATATTCCGAAAGACGAGCCTCTCATTCCATCTTCACCCCCTCCTCGGTATCAACGATATGAAGATTTCATCACTCTCGCTGCCCTAGCCTCTCTCGCCTCGGCGTTGGCGTATAACTTCACCATCGACCCTCTGTAATTCTATGTTGTTGACTTGACTTGACTTGGTGTACTCAATCGCCGACGATGGTGTGCAGGCCTGAGCTGACGGCGTGCGTGCCCACCAATTTGACCTGGCACGGGGGTGCCCGTTAGTGTCATCCGCTGTTTTTCCACGAGTTCGTTCATTCAGTTCTTCCGGGTATGATAGCTCCCTACAGAGTAGTGAGTACCACATAGTATTGTAAGACCGCTCACCTGGACCCTAGCTTCTCTGCAGCAGTACGTTCAAAACCCTATCCTCGCAACTCGCTAAGCACTCAGGTGATCATAATAGTATATTTCATTGATGTGGCAAGCAAGATATGAGTATAATGGTATCACGACGACCAGAGGGATACAGCCACTTCACTATAACAGGTGAGATGCAGAGACATCACTATCACGTAGGATTCGGTGACCTTACTATTCATACACTGATGACTAATTCAGCCCGGATACGTTCGAACGCAGTTCTTCATTCACGATCGGCGCCGCCTCTGTCCTCCACCCTTGAAGTGCCAGAGCAGGCAGGTCCTGAAATGATCTCTGAGGTATTCCCTCCCCACTTCAGCATGGACGGTCAAGCCTCTGTCTCTCACAGGGATGGCCATCTTGGTCCTGCCGTCCAGGACAGGTGCACCGCTCTTTTCAAAGCGGTACAACATCGAAGTCTGGGACGACGGGTCAGCGGTAAACAGACGCCGTCGTGACCAAATTTGACGCGGGACGCACCTGGTCCAAACTGATAAACGTTGAAGAGAGCGTGGATATCAGCTCTCATCAGCATCGCGTTCTCGGGTATGTCGATGTCGGCGGTACTAGTAATTGAAAGCTGTGTACCCAGCGGGGTGTCCACTATCTAATGCAATTGTGTTCATCATTGAGCCAGTACTCCTTGGTAATATATTGAAACAATAGACATACCATCTCTCCAGCGAAGAGAGGTATGATATGCGCAACATGAAGACCAGTAAAATTGCGGCCACGATTCCGGTCAACTGCAGGGATTCCAGACACTCGACACGCCTTGTCTCTCTCGCGCACGGCATTCATCCTAGGGATGCAAGTAAGGTGAATGAGGTATCCTCCCTCAATAAACTGTGCCCCTTACCCTATCAACTTTGTTTGAATTTTTGCTAGATACACCAGATGGTGTTTGGCTTACTGTTTTCCTTCTCCGTTCAAAGAGGGCTTGGCACAACTCAGGTAGTGCCGGCTCAATTGCAAGTTGTCCGTCTGCACCAACTGCAATTTATTGTGATGTAAATGACCTGCTGCGAGAAGCCAATGGACTGCACAGTACTAAGTGCTACTAACCTTCATAATACAAGTAATGGCCAGCCATAAGAGGCCCGGGGCTTCTCGGTATCCGTACCATATGCCTGAGATCCGGAAAAATTGGCAATCCTTGCTGGCGAGACTCAGGGCCAAGGTCTGCAAGTTTTGCAGCCAAGGTTTCTTCATGGATGAAGATGAGCGCCGGCTCTGTAATGATCAGTTTTTGCTGAAGTCCTGCATCCATTTCGCTCAAACTAACTTCGGCCATTCAAGTTAACTGGGACAACAACCATCTCCAGCCAATCATACAGAGTCTGGGCAGTCAGCCGTCCAAAGCGCCAGCAGCCTATTTTCGGTTGTCAGTTCAATCGGTCTAAGAAAGCAGGACTTAGATGAGATTACCCCCAACCACAAAGCATAGTTCATTCCCAGACTGCTCATCAGAGCCTAACATAGAAGCCCAGATATGGACATCCCTCTGATCGTAGTTTGGCTCATACTGGTTAAATCATTGGCAAAGCATCACAGAGAAGTAGTGTGGGGTGTAAATGATCTACTGAAGCACCTCGTCGCATGGCGGCCTTTATATCATTAGGATGCAAGAGCATAACATTTTGAGATGCTTCAGAAACCGTGATACTACTGTTCAGCAATATGATCAGAAAGTTTGAACAGACATATGAACAAAATTCCTTGTAACAAACACAAGGCGGTAGAAAGCCGGGATGCCAGCTCATAACCTCAAGTTAACTTGAAGGTCAAGTGTAGGCAAACTCTGATGCTCAACGTTAGAACCTTGTACTTAGACCAGCCTAATGGCATGTACAGCCGCTGTAACTTTTGCCGCGATGGTGACTTCGGTTGGCTCAGGGGAGCTGATTCACGCAGTGAATGGCACGGGTTACGGGAACCCGTGCAGGTCGCGGGTAAGGGTACCGGTGGGGTACGAGTGTGTCTTTCAACGCACTCTAGAAACCAAAACCCGCAGGTACCCATACCATACCCGATCCGTCGACGCGAGTTTGCGTGTTGTTTGCGCGCGCGATACGGGTACGCGTGGTGGCACCCGCGGGAGATTCACGGTCGCCTCGGGTGTTCTGCATACTAATGAGTACCATTGTGAGCATCTTCAAGTTCGCTGGAGGCTCCATGATGTACCTGTAAATCCTGCGGCACGTCGAAATTATCACTGTTTACGCCCTCGAGGTTAGATCTCTTTTATGACGGGTTACACTGGACAATAAAGTGATGAGCCTTAGGTGCTCACCCATGCCCGGCAATAGCGCCCCCTAGCACCCCCTAGCACGCTCCAGCACCATTGAGCATGCAATTATGACTCCACAACCCATGCTTACTCATGCTACCACGTGCGGCACCGAGCCCTGGCATGCCTGGGCCACAGTGCACTACTGTCAGCCCGTGCCACACAGTGCAGCACTCATGCCAGCACCCGCCGGCATTCTCCAGCATTTCACTGGGATCCTGCTTGATACTTCTCCGGCACACATGCGGATCCGTGCCGGCGGGTGCTCATCCCGGCACTGCCACAACCATCCTTCCTCGACTAAACTAGATCTCAGATTTAATCCACAGAATTAGCCACATTCTATTGCCCCTTCCCTATCCGATATCAATTTAATTGCATTTCTTAGACACTTAGCAATAGTTCATAATTTGTCCTGTTACACCTGTGTCACATATACACCCTTCTCAACATATTTCCTGTCTTCGCAACATGCTCTACCGCTCTTAGTTTATTTCCGTTCCACACTATCAATGAAACCAATAAATTTTTAACCCTTGCAACTGAGACATCATCCCCTCCTCTCCAATTCCTATAACACTCCTCGGTGATGGATATTCTTCGCAACTTCCGCACTGCTTACTGCCTTCTATGTGATGATGTTCGTCTCACTGTTCTTACCCGAGTTGGAGATCTACCCCACCTTGACCAGCAGCGGCAGGAAGTCCTAATGTTCCTTGCTGCAGCACAGCAGGTCAGTTTCCAACTTCCCCCATATATGACTTCTAAACAATCCTTTCTCCATTTACATTAATCTTACAGCACTCACATCACTTCCCCATGTCTGAGTTTGCCACCCTTTCCTCCAGTATTGCTGACATGCTGCAATGCCTTGACGAAGCGAGACACACCTCTGCTGACCCTACCCCTCCCCCTCAACCATCCGTTACCTACCATGATCAACATGGATCTCGCGGCTGCCCCAAGATCTACATCGAGCCTTCATTTCTCGCCACTGCCCTTGAACTCTGAGGCCCCAGTGGCATCGCAGACGTCTTGCATGTTTCGTCCCGCACTGTCAGACATCCCACCGTGGAATATGGCCTTGTTGAGCCCGCCCCACCTGTCTCTCACGTTGAAGTGGATGAGGAAGGCAACACTCATTGCACATGGACCTCCCGCACCACGGCTTTCTCTGTGATCTCTGATGAAGATCTGGATGCTCACCTCCTACATATCTTGCAGTCCTTTCCCAACTTTGGTTGTCGCATGATTGCCAGCCACCTGCAGTCCATGGGCTTTCGCGTCCAGTGTGAGAGGATTGTAGCATCATACCTCTGTGTCCATGGCGTCCCTCGCCTCCTCAGTGACAGGCGCATTCTCCAGCGGAAGTACCATGTTGCGGGAGTCAATTGCCTCTGGCATGGTGATGGTCAGCATGGTCAGTTTTATCGCACAACACCCTAATTCAGATCCTCACCGACTCCCATTATCCAGTGCTAATACGGTGGAAGCTCATTACCCATGTGTCCGTTGAGGGAATGGCCTGACTTGTGGTAGCCATAGGTGTACACAACAATAACCGGGCTGACACCGTCCTAGCTTTATTCCTCACTGGCGTTGAGAGGTATGGTCTTCCCAGCCGCGTTCATGGAGACCATGGCACCAAGAATGTTGCTGTCACCCGCTACATGGAGGAAAGCCGTGGCGTAGGTCGAGGGTCTTACATCTGGGGCCAGTCAGTCCCCTCACCCACTTCTACTGTCAATGTCTCTGATCTCTCACCTGTATATACAGCAGTGTTCACAATACCCGTATCAAACGTCTGTGGTATGATGTTACACAGGGATACAGTACAAACTGGAAGAATCTTTTTATTGACCTTGAACTCTACTATGGCTTGGACGCCAAAAACCCTGCCCACATCTGGCTGCTCCACCTCCTTTTCCTCCCTTCCATCAATGCAGATGCCCAGGATTGGGCTGAGGCTTGGAACAACCACACGATGTCTCTCGATGGTCTATGTGATCGCAGCCCTTGCAATATGTTTTTCTTCGGACTCCTCCAGTACAGTGCAAGGGGTCTTGAGTCCATGGTTGATCCCATAGATGAGCCTCTCGCACCTGAGGATATTGTGGCCTACGGCATCGACTGGGAAGATTTGGACAATCCATGCCTAATGGAACACCTGCTTGTTAACAATGACCATGAATGGGATGAGCATAATCCATTCACACTTCTATCTCAGCCAGACATGCTCTCCCACATTTAGTGCCTCCCCCCCGACCCCCTTTCCCCGACGACACAGCATCCCAAATCCTCTCCTTGCTTGCCTCTCGGTTTGAACTCCCAGTTCGCAACATTCAGCTTTGTAAGAGCCTATGGATCGAAGCTCTCTCTCTGGCACAGCAGCTCTACACGCACCCTCATGGCTAGACCCAAAGTCCTCATCCCTCATTTTCACCATCGAATGAAGGGCTCACTGCGCACATGAAGATCTGCCCCCCTTTTCTGAGAATAGGCATCTGGGCTACCTACAATCAACAGTGATTCTGATCTATTTTAGTCCTGTAGTTCGACTTTTGTAATCTTTTGCTACAACCTATGCACTCTCTGAATTCTGCATGAAGGTACCTGAACCCCTTCACTGTGCACCAAATGCCCCCTGCTATAAGGTACCTCCACCCCCACAAACCGTGCCAACTTATAAATCATCACATTGGGATATATCCCCTGCGCTATCTGCCTCTCATCCAGCCACAAGAAGTCTGGTAGCCTAGAGGCGTCATTGTATAGTGTTACCAATTTCGAAGCTAGCGTACCGCACTGACCATGGATCTTCACTGCCATAGTTCCCATCATCACTTGCTTCACTGTCCGAAAGTGTCCGATAATCTGTTTCCCTGTCACATTTGGTGAGTTTGTCATCAGGAACCCTCTTTCAATATGACCCGACACCTACCATGGAATGTCACCTCCATCTTCCCCCATGCGTGACCCAACATCGTTCCATACCTCTTCCATGCGATCATTGCGCCCATCCCAATGATGCTCTCCTTCACTCCCCCACATCCCCCCCCTCGTCCACGGCCATAATGTTCTCCTGACCGAAGTCGGAGAAAGTAGATTCTCAGGCAAGGCTTCTCCCTCTCCCCTGTGGTTGCTGAAAGCGCTACTCATCTCTTCATTCAGAATCCTGGGCACTATCATGCACCGTGTATGTACGATGTTCTCTTGCCCGGGAATCCCTGTGATCCCCTCCAGAGTATACACTCCGAGGTAATAAAAGGACCACAACCATGTCAAATCCTCCATCTCCTCCATCTCACTGAGGACTTGCATGCCATGATGAGGCTGAGATTCTGTGGGTTTCAATGTCCTCGTCATACATCAAAACACAGTAGGATAACAGAGTGGCCTATGGATGAGGAAGCACCAGAGTGCATCTATCCGCTGATCATGCGGCCAATCCAATGGTTGCACAGCTGTTGGTGGCCAAGGTCCTCCAGCCCACCATAAGGGCTCGCTTTCTCCTTGATCGTTGGAGGACATCACTGCAAAGGAAATAGATTGTTGCCCGTCAGGGCGGTAGTCAGCCACTCCTTTGACTTATCGATGTCGGACCGTGGGCCGGATGGTAAAAATCGCATTGGTGCCACATCTGTGCATCTCATCAAATTCACTCATAAGATTTTTTGCACCTTTCAACTTTGCCCATACCCTATCCACTCTCCCCGCACCATGTCACAGCCTGTTCTCCCCGTTGTTCTACCCGGGCGCGACATGCCCCAGAGCACTTGGTCTATGCAGATGATTTCAATCCCATCCGTCAACATGTAGCGGTGCTGTCTTGCCCACAACAAAATCCACCCCAATCTCGTGCGGTGCAGGGTGATCATCACGGCAATTTTCCTTCAGAGGCTCAGGCTATGCCTTTTTCATGTGAAGTGCTTTCAGCCATTCATTAATTCATCTCACCAATTTTTTTGAGGGGCCAGTACACATCCCGAGTGCCAACAATGACTTCATTGCAACATCTGCATCTCCACATGAAGTCAGGGTGTGGGATGTCTCACCGGTGCTGAGCCTGAGAGTTTCTCCAACTGACGTTGATATTTGAATCACGAGCTCAAGTGAGAGGTCACCTTCCCCCCCAGCCCCGACGATAGATGGTATTTTGTCCTATCTGGATCATGGCGGGCCTTCACTCCTCAACCCCATCCGCTGGGTGGCAATGCCTGTCAATGTAGATATTTCCCAGCAGGCAGTCAATAACTGGATCAACGAGCTTAACCTCATCGGCCTCTCATTCACCCCCTTTGAGACCGCAGGCGAAGACCCCGCCGCAATACGTCCCAAAACTACCAGGGCACCTTTGGGCATCATTCATCATACCATCGATGTACTCACACATGGTTCTACCTTTGATCCAGTTGATTCCCGCTTAAACCTGGATGTTGCCATGGCTGATCAACATGCCCTTCATGTGGATGCCGACATGGATCTCCAATCGTCTCCTGCTCCTTGACAGAATTGTATTCATGCTGCCTCGTCTCGACCGGCAAGGTGCACATTGACCTCGCAAGTCCCAACCATTCCCATTGATTCCGGCGAGGTCATAGACCTAGCTGGTATAACCTCCGACTCAGAGGACAACTCAAATGATGCGTGAGTCTTAGGCCCTGGCAATTCTCGCTCAATTCTGCTGTTTGTGGTTATAGACACCCACCGGCGGCTAAACATCGAAGAGGTGGTTAACCTCCCTCCCTATCCCAGCATCAACAATCTCCTCGATGCGATTGAGGTGACTCAGGGTTTGGCTGGCCAGGTTCTTTCGAAATGGGGGTCTCGCGGTGGGTTCTTTGCCACTGCAGCCACTCCTGTTGGCATCACCTCCGGTGTTCCGACATTCATGCAACCTGGGTGACAATTCCAGCAGATTGGCCCTTTCTCCATGGTAATGGCTAGGCAAGTGCGGTTCACATTATTACATAGGGTGGTTGCCTTCCATCCCGAGACCGTTGATATTCAGCGACGTTGGGGTTCTGCCCCTGTTTTTGTCCTCTATTTATCCGAGGAGGTCAGTCTATTAGTTCTTATAGCATTCTTGTACAATGGATGGCACTCATCACCTATCTCTCAGCCATTTGTTGACCTTCTCACCCAACAAGGCACCGAGGCCCGCATTGATGGTGTCAAATCAGAGCATGAGTCTGAAACCAAATTGGTGAAGACAGAGGGTCTGACTGAAGACGAACCCATGTTCGCCAGGCCTACCATTGCGGCCATTGTGGTGCCTGCGGAGGGTGTCAACCCCCATCATACTTCTTCCAACCATGAGTCTGCCTATTCTGCCCATGATGACATGCACGTACCATTGCCTAAGGTGCCAGGAGCGAGGTTTAAGCCCTGATCACTGGTGGTTCTGTATTTGCATGAACACTATCAAGCTGAATTTGACCGCCTCGAGGACGTATGCAGCAGTCGCACTACCGTGTGGCCCCATTATCAGATTGAACTGTCTGCCCGATGTATTGCTGCACATATTGGCATGCCATGGCTGGACTCTGGCGCTGCGCCATCGGTGATGTTGCAGGATGGAACCCCTTGTTACGTATGCAGACATGGCTTGCGCATTCGGAAGGACTCTGGGTATCTTCAAGAATTTGCGCACGTATGTATATACCTGTCGCGAGGGGCTCAAGCAGTTGCACTCCAAGGCCACACGAGGTGAGGAGATGAGTTGCAAGCTTCGTGACCTTCGCATGGTGCTGGAATGCATGCCACAGGACGATCCACTGGTAAGGCAGCTGGATGAACCCATTACGCATACCACCACGGCATGGTGGAACACAACTCACTGGATGCAGGGCAAGATGGATGATTTGCTTACTCCGTTTAAATGCAGGAGTGGACGGAGTCGGGCAGCTACAACTGCCCACAGATCGTAATAACTGGTCATTTTCATTCCATAAAAATCACACTGTGTATAATATCTACGCATGGCCTACATCGCCATCTTATGTATTATGCAATGTTCAGCTCCTCCATCTTCGTGTGAGGCCTTGTGTGGCACCTGTGATCAGAACACCATGGGCATTTGAATTACTTTAAATGATGATTACTGTTGTGCTGCACGCTTCCAGTGGGCCACGGTCAGATATGACGAACTGCTTCTAGAGCCCGAGGAGGGCATTCAAGATGACCCCATCTTTGACGCTTGGTTTTATCAACAGTTACTGCTTTGTGCCTCTGGTTTTTTGCAAATGGTGCGAGTGGACGGAACAAAAACAGCGAACGCCTGGCAGACATCAGTGCATTGCGGATTGGAGCATGGTCCTTGGTGATGGAGGTTGGCAGTGTCGGCAATGTCTGATGTGTTGGGCATGGTGGGAGAGGCTTGAGAGCAGGTGACAGTATTTGCGATGGTGAAATGGGGGTAAGGGGCTGAGTTATTTGTGAGGTCATAAAATGTGGATACAAAGGAAAATGAATCTAGTCACAAAGAGCGAACATCAGACGAACGAATATTATCTAATATTGTAAGAAATACCAAGGCGCGGCTGGAATCTGAACTGATTGTTGGAATGACAGGATGTGGCGAGCTCGCATAGGCGGCCCGGAGCGGCCGCTCACACCCTTATCCGATTTTAATCCGATAGTACCTTACCGTAGAGCTCATATATACCTGGGTAGCGTACATTTTGTCCTTACCATGTTTGCTCCGTACTATGACACTGTACGCGCAAACACGCCTTACTTTCGTTTTCGAATCTATTCACTATAAAAATCTTACACTGATATAGGGAGCGGGTGATATATAGTTGTGTGTGGCACAGTACAGATAAGGATGGATTGTTCTGGTTTGGGGCATTGGTGCCGATCAGTGCTCAGCTAAGATAAAGATTGGAGATGCATGGAGAATCTGGGTGGCGATGCAAAAGAAGTGCCAGCACGAATGAGCATTACGGCAGGCCTCGGGCCTGCGGCATGGTGTGGCACAGGTGCTGTGCAATGCTGCGTGGTGGATGACAATACAACGTAATGCTGCCTCATGCTCGCGCGTGCTAGGCCGTGCTAGGCTGTGCTAAGCGATGCAGTCCGGTGGTGACCCAGCACAACAGCTGGTTTTGATTTTTGTCCAGTAGGGGCCGTCATAGGGGTTGATACTAGTACTCAGGTTGGTGAAGAGGCATGGGTTGTGGAGTCATAATCGCGTGCTCAATCGTGCTGGAGCATGCTAGGGGTTGCTAGGGGGTGCTAGGGGGTGCTATGGCCGGGCATGGGTGAGCACCTAAGGCTCATCACTTTATTGTCCAGTGTAACCCGTCATAAACCCCACCCACTGCCACACACGGAACTGCACCGTGCCAGACGGGAGGGGTTTCCAGTTTCAATAGAGGGTATGATCAAGGGGCTATACGCTCGGGCTTCAGATCTCAGACATCAGCGCTTCAGCAGCCAAATTCAACCTCCCGAGTCAGAAGGGCGGGCTTTCCGTGCAGCACTTCCCAGTTCAATGAATGTATTATGATTGCCACATATACCCTCTGGCACAGCCCGGTAGCCAGTGCACCGGATAACATCAACACTCAGTATTTGGAAACAACAACACTGAAGGCGAAACCAGCAAATAATACAAAAAAAACCATTCCTCCGGAACTAGTCCCTGCTTGGTACAATAACACGATTGAACTTCAATTTATCAACATGGACCCACAATTCCGTGCGTAACAGGTGCGAGATCCAGGAATTGAACGCCAAGGTACTCTTATTTTGTTGCTCACTGGAGATGATCTAACTGGTTTGTCTTGCGGCTATAAGAGCTTGTATCTCAGGGCAGGATATCGATACTACCGCCCGTTGATATGCACTGACACACAACAATCACCAAGGACCAAAGGAAATAAACCTAAACCCCGTGATATGGGTGAAGGCGGTCCGAGACAACTGAAGGGTATTTAATAGTTCGAGGGGGAAAGGAGGAGTAAGACGCCGTAGGGTAGTCCGTAGGAAGACCTAGAAGAATAAAGCAAAAACCTTGATGCCTGAAACAAACACTAAGGGACGCTCCGGAGTATTTATCTCCGAAAAGTCGCAAACAAAGTCGCAAACCACGGAACCGAGTGTAGGTTCGGGCCCACGGGAGTAGAAAACACTAAAGGGACTTGTTTAATTTTTATTTCGCTATGTGAGACGCACCGGAGCTAATTGAATCGATGGCGGAGCTAATTCACTCGACGAGTCAGGCCTATTGGCAAAGCTAAGATCGGTTATAATTCGCTAAGTTCGACGCTTTCGAACTTCTCGGGTCGCTGAGATCGTAACTCTAATTCTCTGAGATGGTGAAGTCGAAACTTATTTTTCTGTATGCTACTTTGTACAATTTATACTACAGGAATGGCTTTGCGACCGTTCGGAGATAA